TCGACAATCGCTGTCTCAGAACCATGCCTTGTGCAGTCTGATGTCGACGAATCCATGGCGAGACAACTTGAAAATGACTGTCCGGTTGTGTAGCAGGAACTTAAACCGAGAATTGTGTGCAACACCAGAAGCTGCATTCTTTAGGCCATGTATTGCATATGCCGAATCACCGTTTAGCAGGAGAGGTGCTGTTTTCTTTGCCCAGTCGAAAGGGCAGCAAGCATGAAGGCGATCGTCCTTTGACCTAACAGAGGGGTCTCAAGGGGATCACCAAACATCTGCCTACTGTGGATGCGACTCGCCTTTCAGGATTGAGTCGACCCGGTCACCAAAATGTACGTCTGGGGACTCTGTAAGTTATTGCTGCCACCCGCTTTAAGTAGCGTTACTGATGTCCGTTTTCACATAGTTTGCGTGGGACATCTCTGGAGAGTGATCAGATAAACTGCGTTTATATTCAGCGAAGCATTAGTGTTGTAAACTGATGATGATGATGATGATGGTGATGTAACATTGTACCTACGAGGAGCCCAGATAATCAATACCAAGGCATTGGAAAGGGATGATAGTGATCTGTGCAGACTAGGGGGCAGTGAATTCAGCGTTTATTAAGAAAGGTGCTAATATTCATAACAATACCCAACACTGAAAAGATTGGGATTGTTATCAATGACTTGGCAGCGAAATGTGAAAGCTGTTGCCATCAAACTCAGCTGCGCTTGCTATCGCTATCTCTCCAAATGGGAACCGCGAGACGCGCCATATCACTAGTCAAAGACACTGTCAGACATGGACCAGTCGAGCTCTCAGTGGCTCACGTACATTCAAGCTATTGCCTTCAATGCAAAGCTACCTAGCGTGCTTTATTTAAGCACCAATTTATCAGTACCCGCCTCCAATGAGCGGCTACCTACCCCATCTCCCCAAATCACCGATGGACTAAATTCTGGCAGGTACGATCACTAGGCAACCAGTACGCGGTTCCTAAACCTGATGTTGATGATGATGATGATGACGATGAGGATGATATCATTTTCATATAAACCATTGAAAGGATTCTATACCTAGTCAAATTTCCAAAAGGGAAATATTCTGTGCTTGACAGTGTTGTAATTGAAGGTTGATCACCTGGAAAACATAGTCAGAGACTCTGTCTGCGAAATTCTTTGAAACGCATGGACTAAAGCCTATGTAGGACAGACGGCTAGGGGATTTCACACCAGAATCGATTAGCACGAGAGAATAATAAACAGGTTGCTGAGAAACGCAGATGAATATTGAGGGATACTGAAGTACTGAGAAACGGCGGGACATGCGCTAGACGCGGGACACACAAACAGAGTAAAGGCCGTAGAACCGGCATGCGTTTGGTTCCATATCGATCGAGCTGACACGTGGTGGTGTGCAATCATCAGCGAAGGAGGCTCATCAACAGAATTAGCTTTGATCTGAAGTCCAGAAACCAGGCTGACCGGAAGTTCAAGTTATCTCATTCCCCTAACCAAATTATCGTAACAGCTACAAAACTATATGGATCAGCAAAGGACGGTCAGGAAGAATAACTAAGTGGAGCGCCCTGAAGCAGAATATCAAGGACTTAAAGCCATTAGCACCCACGCCAACCGACCATCAACACCGTGTGTGTGTGCTAGTCAAACCAGCTCTCTCTCTCTCTCTGATTTGTTCTCAGGTTGTCTTAAGAATCGGCCAACCTAGGAGCCTGCTCACTCAGCCCAATAAAGTTTTCGCATCAAAATTGGAGAGCTGCCCAGCTTTTTCTACTGGCGCTTTCTCATGATTTCAAACCATGTCTACGGTACCATACCGTAACACACTGCAATATACACTCCAATTCCATCACAAAACTTGCGCGCAAGATCTGGCTCTATTTTTCCAGAACTGATTGGCGTACCCGAGTTAGGAACACCATCTTTGAGGCAGTAAATGGTTTACCGTTGTGCACTTCCCGAACCAGGCAACATTGTCATCCTGGCGTTCGGTGTTTAGTCTCCCCACATTTGTCTGCGCCTATATAGTTTCTAGAGAGAAGTCAGCATCTGCAAAGTGATTGGTCGTTTGGACGTCCGCTAGCGCGTGGTTTGATTGGTCATTTTGGGCTTTGGGGTTCCGTATGGTTTGATTGTCTGGCAACACTCAATAGGTTCAGTTGGAGCGGAGTTTTTAAATCGCCACTCACACAGGCGTGTTTGCGTTCGCGTTTGTCTGCCAACCGTCGTTCTGACAACCCCATCAGAGTCTTAAGTGAATGTCTTTAAATCGACTGCAGACCCCTCGTAACCCGTGTGAATGTCATTTTCTAAACAAAGGAACGAGAAAGGTTTGAGTAAAAAAAATTCAAGGGGAAGCTACAGGTCACAGGACCATCTCACAAAACTGCTGGCTGTGGTGGAGTAGAGGCTGGCTTGCCATACCTCCTTGATCAAACGGTCCCTGCAAGATCAACAGAAAAGAAACTTTTGGAGCCGTATTCATTCCTTCCGCGACTCTAAGTTGGGTAAGGACAACAAGACTGTCTTCGGCAAAGGATGGCTAGTTCCGCTGGTCGAACAGGCCGAATGTCGCAGCCGTACACTGCACATGAGCATAGTAACTCTATTTTTATCCGATTTGATTGTGCTGCTGTTGCCAAGTGGCAACGCACTACTCATAAGTTTGCTGAAAGCCCTTTGACTGCCCACAAATTCAATTGGTTTTTGTGTATATCTTACCTTGGTTGTCCACTAAGCTCAGGTAGTTTCCAAGAGGAAAGAATGTTGACGCCCTTGGTTACCAGGATCAAACTTCCGAAAAATTTGCTTGAAAAACAGTTACCATTTAAGGCAGATGATATGTTCTGTCCTTCGTACAATAAAACTACAACTACAATAAAACTACTACTGCGGTAGTTGGTGGCCCGGATCACTTCGTGAAAACTTGGTATGAGGATCATCCATTTACATACTCTATTCTGTTGAGCCTTTTCATGAACATCTCCCGAATTTGGGTGGGATGTTATCTATCCTTGGAACAGATACATGTATTCTTCGGGTCAGATAATTTTGGTTGATAGCATACTCAAACCTGATTGGCTAGTTACGGACAGCCCCACTTAATCACCTTTGAACAACTCTCTACTCTGGAAGTGCGAGTACAGCCACCAACCAGCCTAAAAGCAACAACGCGCGGTTGTGTCAATGACGCAAACCTGTCTTGATAAAAGTAGACAAAACAAACATGCGTTGCATATCGGCACATCCATGCATGTGCTGAATCGCACCTCCGGTGCTTGTCCAACAAGAACCAATCAGCTTGGGTCGTTATCATTCATGCTTCTGTTATCCAGCATCGTTTACGCGTGTCCATTGGTGCATACAGTACGTACCACGTGACCAACACGGCTGACTGACACCGATCGAATCGCAGCGGTATCTGCCGGCCTGCGTTGTCGTTTCGCGTATGACAAACTGATGAAGTTTTAAGAAGCCCATCATAAAGTCGCTTGCAGAGGTAGCACGATCACAGCAGAACACCGAAACTCTCAGAACACAACTGGGCTAAACCATGAAAAATGGTCACTTCAGAATCATCCTTTAAGGGGACCTTTAAGGGGAGAGTCCTGTCGCATTTTAATCCCGGTGAAACGGCTCACAGAATTTTTCTGATTGATTGCCGCAACAAGCAGCCCTCTGACACGAACACATGCAATAATGCGATTCCATCTTTACATGAAAATCACGTGACTTGAAAAATGAGAAAACTGGTTACGAAATTGCAGCCATCTGTTGACAAACGTACATCAGTTTTGAATAAAGATGTCTTGACAATCAAGCGGAAGTTCAGTGGTAAATCACACCGTGGTCAGTCCAGAATGTAAATGAGATATAAAAACTACGATATCCGAAAGCACCCGTTGTCAGTGGACTCTTCGTTTAGGATTTGAAAGCTGAATGCGTACATTGAGTGAATCTAACTCAGACCGCAGAGTTGCTACGACCCTCTTTAAGCTGTAGTAATGACCCCCTTGTTGACTGAGTTACGAGATACAGGTATACAGTAAACGTCATTCAGATCTATTCCGGATAAGCCCCATTACCAATGCAAAACGTGCATGTGTGAAAAGTTAGGCACCGCCCCACTTTTGCCAGCTCCAGTTTAATGCACGCACATAAACCTGATCTATTTTTGATGAACACAATTCCTTATCCACATCTCGGCTCATTTTGTGCAGACATTTTCTTCGTTCTGTCACGGAGTGATACATCAGCAACGTCTATTCAACAATGGCCACCAAATGACACTTTCAACTGTTTCTGACAGGTGGAGGTGTAATGCTCGACAGTGTCGGCAAGAGATCGGTCTTCGAAAGGGAATTTGGCTGGAGCGGTCTAGGATGGTGTTTGGGACAGTAATTCTATTCATTTATTGCTGGTCCAAAAATTTGGCAAAAAGCAAACCATGTTCAGAGGAATTATCTATTAGCCACATGGGCGCTGTTGACTGGAAGAACTTTCTTCGCGAAGATTGCGCCTGGCGGCGGTTTTTGCAGACTCCAACGGTTAATCGTACCAAAACCTTTGTGGATCCAACGACTGGAGCTCACACGTCCACAAGATGCAGAATAAACGCCAATGTGGCACACACCGATCTTTAGTGGACAGCCACTTGTGTGAGTTCGTTTGAAGCCGACAACGGACCTTTTCATGCAAATTATTAATGGCACGTCCCAATTTCACCCTGTTCAATAAAAACTAAAAGTACGGATTTCATACATTCTTCTTTCTAATCTTTTTTGGGTGGCGGCGGTTGATTTTTTGGAGGGACTTAACTGGAAAAGATCCCCTATTCAGAGTTAACCCATCTACTCACAAGAGGTAACATTCACCACTGTTTTACCTTGGAAACACGAGACGAGAAAATGACGCAACGGCAACTCTGCTCTCATCCATAAATGATTGGAATGAAAGATTTAGCAAACCGTTATACATACTCGCCCGTAATAAATGGGCCCATGGGGAACATTATGTACAGTACAAACGAGCGATGAAGACACTGGTGAAGGCGGAGTTACGCTTGTAGCGCAAACCTGATTGCTCCTAGATTTTGCAGATATACTCAACTGGTAGTGCTTGCAAACTAGTGTGGATACATATCCTAGATTTCTCCGCTTCGCTTAGTCAACAAAACAATAACGAGGTCCTGTTTTACTAACTTTTGTACTCTCAGAAACGCTTTAAACTAATTAGGAGTTGCAAATCACTTTGGAGATGTTTTCCTGGTTCTGAAATTCTTCGGTCACAAGCCGATAACCTTGCAGTGGTGGCTTGATCGATTGGAAGAACTGATCGAAACAACGGCTGGACCGGACATGGTGTTGTCTAGTTTTAGCGCAACCGTTTCTGGCATGATGATGAAATTACGTTAGACATTCGATGATGGTATGAACTGTCTGAGGCCCATTCCGAGTTGTAATTTTTCCACTCTTGGACTGACTTTCAGGCTAAAAAAATCGGACCGCGCACGGCTTCTTGTAGCGATCAATCATATAACTACCTTTTCAATATGTATTACTACTCTAGGTAACTTTGGCACGCCATCCAGCTCGTGCATGCCATTGAAAAAGGGCGAAGCATGTCAGCCAATCACAAGTCTTGAAGCCAAGCACTTGATCGATCAGAAAACCAGTGTGAGGTGTTTTCAGCCAATGGCAGCGGAGCTTTTGGCTTCGGTGCCTCGCTGCCAATGCAGTCGAGACGACGTCGTTTATCTCACACTGTATGGGGCTCGTAGGTTGTGAACAGTCTCGAGGCCCAATGTGACTGTTCGTATTTAGTGATGAAACGCGTATATGCCGAAATAATCGGGACACAACCTGTACATCTGTGCACTGGCGTGACCATTCATTCACTCCCCACTTGAGCATTCGGCGGTGACTTTGTTGCTTACCTTGTGCGGATTAGAAATGAAGAAATTGCTGAAAATAACTTGGTAAGTACGTGTTCTACCTCCTCATACCTAGAACATAGGATATCAAGTGAACCTTACCGTCAGATTCAAACGAAGGATACAAATAAATCAAAAAGACCTTCATACCTGTCGCGGGTCACGAAACTCACCTCATTGTCCAAGCACCTAATCCCGTCAGAAAGCTAGATGGTTTCAGAACAACAGTTTAAATATAATTCATGACAACACGGGTGTTCCAACACCTCTTTGGTCTCTTACATAGCAGTGGTCTCAAACTTACTGGCTAGAGGCTCGGCAATTTCCCCCCCCCCCAAGCTCATAATCCATTCGTCAACCCGGTAATTATCTAACCGCTAAATTTGGTCGTTCCTATCTAGCCCAATCGCTAGCAAACCCAGCTGATTTTTCATTCTGCTAACTTGTGAATCATCTTCATAAAGGAAATTACTACTCACAAGTTTGCTGAAAACTTTTCGAAAATATATTTCGATATCTCGAATTCCGTGCCAACTAAAACTTAAGGCGGCCCGTGGGCAGCAGATCCAGTTGACGAACAGTATAAACGAGAAATTCACTTGAGTCTCCCGTGACGACCAAACTGCTTCGCAAATGAGTGTATTTGTGGTAGATATCCTTATGATATTAACTTCACACCTGGAAATTCACACATGTGACCTGGTTCGCAGTTTGTCTTATGGTGCTCTTGTGTGTTCCACTTGCGCGATGACGTGAATGGTCTGTTGCTCATTGTAGACACTATTTGAGCACAGCTTGGAGCTGAGGTTCAGACGCTCATCTCCCTCGCTATAGAGTTTGATTTTGTTTCAAATATAATGACCTTGTTTAAGAATATCCGCACCGAAAGTCACGTGTGTGTCATACTGACTAGCGTGGTATTTGGGTTGAATGGCCCATAATTCGTGTTGTCTCGGGCATAGGAAAGAGAACATGTGCCGATCGGTGCCAACCGTGATGCAATCTGTGCGCTACATCGATTACTCAGTATCATATTTTGGAGTGTGAGTTGTGTTCAGGCTGATGATCAGGTGAAATCCTTTAAATAAAGCGGTTTCATGCATAAATTTGGTAGATTTATCGCGCGGATCTGGAAAGTTGGGGGATTGCCATTACCTGTTATATTATTTGAATCCAAATGTAAGCACTTGCCACCTGCTGCGTTGCATGCGGTTCGCATGTTTAGGCTGATTTTTTTTCAATTCGAGTTATTCCGTATTCTATCCATGAACTTTTACGTGACACATGGTAGACCGAGCGTAGTGCCATCAATTGAGATGGCTCTGCAACGAGATCTTACACATGCTTAACAAAATTCATTGCACAAAAAGGCTAGCTTGTGTAATATTCAGAAACATGCAGCAGATATTTCAACACAAAAGAATAAAGTAGAGAAATGGGATGATAGCTGGTTGACAAATTAGTTTTTGTGTATAACAGTCATGTGTTAATAGATATTCAACGTGTGGTAATAAAACGGCAGCCAGTATGAGCCAGTTTTTCAAAATTCATTAAAGTTTCAACCATTTCGTTATCATTAGCGAGACTGGATAGAGGCTCGGCAATTCCCCCCCCCCCAAGCTCATAATCCATTCGTCAACCCGGTAATTATCTAACCGCTAAATTTGGTCGTTCCTATCTAGCCCAATCGCTAGCAAACCCAGCTGATTTTTCATTCTGCTAACTTGTGAATCATCTTCATAAAGGAAATTACTACTCACAAGTTTGCTGAAAACTTTTCGAAAATATATTTCGATATCTCGAATTCCGTGCCAACTAAAACTTAAGGCGGCCCGTGGGCAGCAGATCCAGTTGACGAACAGTATAAACGAGAAATTCACTTGAGTCTCCCGTGACGACCAAACTGCTTCGCAAATGAGTGTATTTGTGGTAGATATCCTTATGATATTAACTTCACACCTGGAAATTCACACATGTGACCTGGTTCGCAGTTTGTCTTATGGTGCTCTTGTGTGTTCCACTTGCGCGATGACGTGAATGGTCTGTTGCTCATTGTAGACACTATTTGAGCACAGCTTGGAGCTGAGGTTCAGACGCTCATCTCCCTCGCTATAGAGTTTGATTTTGTTTCAAATATAATGACCTTGTTTAAGAATATCCGCACCGAAAGTCACGTGTGTGTCATACTGACTAGCGTGGTATTTGGGTTGAATGGCCCATAATTCGTGTTGTCTCGGGCATAGGAAAGAGAACATGTGCCGATCGGTGCCAACCGTGATGCAATCTGTGCGCTACATCGATTACTCAGTATCATATTTTGGAGTGTGAGTTGTGTTCAGGCTGATAGAAATGAACTTGCATGTTCATATTTTTTAATGTTGGTCGGTCCCCTGTGCAGATGACAATGCAGCTCGAGACAGCTCAGTGGTTACGGCGCGAACTTACTGACCTGAAAGTCCGTGGTTCGAATCCAACGTTCGCATAGGTCGGCCAAAAATCGACGTTATCATCTTCTACTTGATCAGTGAACCATCAAGGGGCCAGACGCGGACATTCAAACGCCGGCGCGTCGCGAGCTTCACTGGACATAGAAGCGATGCTGCAGAAATACCAGGAAGAACACGCATCAAACTTTCAACACATTGAATTCAAAGGACTTGCCAATGAGTTGCGTTCATTTCGGACAAAAAAATCCGCCCTGAGAAAACTGATGGAGGAGTTTTGAAGCGTTCTCAAAACGCAAGTTTTTCTTGGGAAATCAGCTCAGGTTGTTGCAAACATAACGTGAAAAGTTTGTGATTACTCATCACCACTGGTATGTGAAGCAGAAACAGTGAAATGATAGCTTAAGTATGAGCCACCGAATGAAGGGTTTGTGAGCCTTCAAGAAAATTCCAGAAATTATGTGACACTTGATGAATCCTGTTAGCCTGAGCGTAGAGAACGCGACGAGTTGAGGCGAAATTTGTTGGTCAGTGAATTGTGTCAGCCAATCAAAGCTCAATCTGATATGTTCTGGAAACCCTTTGACTGCCATGATGCATAACTTAATGCCATGTTCATGACTTGAATTTCAGGTGAGTTTTGCTCAGCTTCTGTAGATTTCATCGGAATAGTTGACTCATTCTTTGTGAACTTGCGTAAATGGCATTACGTTGAATTTTCTACATCTACGCCAGTTTTTTAAGCCAGATTACAGGAAGTCACACTTGATACAATCTATGAGGTTTCAAAGGTATTAGCGCCCGAATGTTCCCGTGTGAACATCCTTCATTCCGTAAGCAAACGGAATGAAAACCTGGCAAAATGCGAACTTATCGTTTCGTTGCCCCTAGAATCACATGGATCGATTGAGAACTACTTGGAAATTCAGATGCCAGAATGTACATTCCAAATGGCCCTGTGAGCTATCCGAATCCTGTTGCGGCTTCACTCTCCAAGATTCCAACCTTCTTGCCACAATGTTCGTTGCAATCCTGATTGCTCAAAGGATTTACTCTCAATTTTCGTTTCTACTCCAACATTCTTCAAAAATCACGTTATCGCGTTGGTATTTCGGCATAGTATTTAAGCGTAGTTTAACTTCTTAAATTGGCATCCACCAAGTATCGCACATTCTGCCGACATTGTTGAGCTGCGAGAATCTATTAGTGCACATTCGATGATGGTCATAACACAAAGCAGAAGGTATGTGCACTAATAAAGGTTTTTTAGTATGTTTGACAGTGGAGGGTTGGAACACGTATAAAAATCAATACAATGCGAAATGGGAGCCAGTCAAAAAAGGAACTTATCGACTGTGAGAGTCCCTTGGTGAAAGTCCGGACGGCGGGAACGTGTTTTTCTTCGCAGTGCGACTGCTACACGTGTTCCATGATTGCCCGTAGACTTGTGGAGAGGTTGAATTACTGCTCCCTGCGCGCGCGCGTCTGTGTGTGTTGAGTGTGTTCGATTTCCCTACGTGTAAGTCCGTTTGCGTGTACGTGGGCGCCTCCGCACACAAGTAGTCGCTACGCTGACTAGACGGTGCAGACAATTGATTTCCGATGAGTCAGCTTAATGTGGCGTGTTTGTTAGTATGAGAAAAATGACAAGTCTCGTGATCCAGTGAGCTACTGTGAGCTGAACAGTCACGGGTGTGAGGGACTAGGTAGCTACGAATTTACCATCTTTCATCGCCAGAGCACACGGGTTCGGGTTTTATCGATGACGTGTTCACACTTCTGCCCAATCTATTGTTTTCCGTACTTCCGTTTATTGTGTTGCCTTTGTATGCAGTGAGTAAGGAGCGGACTTACTGACCGAAAGGTTTCATGGCCGGAGCCCAACCTCCCAGCTTCCCGACTGTTCCAAGCCGGGCTTGGGCGACATGGCAGTATCTCAGCCCCCCTGCTCCCTTCAGGTAGAAACGCAGCTAGGCACAGTTAAACGATTACATATTGTATAGTATTGGTAGGGCTAGATGAATCAAGTGGTTAGAGCGCGAATTTACTGACCGCAAGGTCCGTGATTCGAACCCGGCCTCTGCCTCTCGACTTCCCCTGTCTAGACTTGGGCGACCTGGCAGTATCCCTGCCTCCTTCGTGTGGCATGACAGCTAGGCACCGAAAGGGTGCTGCAGCTGAACGATACAGTATTAGTTATCATTTATTTATTACTTCGGTGGACACATGCGGTTCCAGAATAAATAGCTAGAACATCCGCACAGTGACGTTCTGGGTATCCTGGTAGGTGGGTGAAGCAAATTTTGGCTTGATCGAAGAGAACCTCAAGGCCCTCTGACAGGACATGACGTGAAATAGCCAAGGGCTGGGTGGAATCCTAAGTGGTGTGCGTATTTTATGTTCAACGAACCGTACGCACAGCTAGCTGCTTCCTGGCTTCACAATTTGCGCACCGTACTTTCGTTGGCGTTATCGGGTTGATAACCATTTCTCTTCTGTTTTCCATTCGAAACACAGTCTGTATATTAAACCGTGGGGGGGCTATTTCGCAACTTTTTCAAGGTTCATCGTTCCTATACAGTTGTCGCACTCCTTGAGGAGCTTTACAATGTATGGTCAACCAATACTAAAGTTGTGTTCCTCTGTCGCATGCGCGCTTCCAGGCATTAGTATCCTGACTGTCCAAAGTGTAACTGAGCTTGATACGTATGGTTCATCACCCCATGGAGGTCTGACAGAGGTCGGGGCACTCAAGGTTTCTTTAGAATATGATAGATAGAATAGTACGGCGTTGGTCTACCGGGGTTTATTGCTTTCTTCCAGAATCATTTTGGTGAAGTCAGTCACTTAACTCCATCACAATTCCAGTGACATCCCGGCTAGTAGTTTGAGCACTTGACCGTTCGGCCATAAACGGCTGATCAGCATTGCGATTAGCCCACACTTGGACAGGATTGAAAGATGAACACCCTTGTTTTTTGTCCAAGTATGAGTTACTCGTACCGCAGGACAGAACAGGCGAGTGCCCTCTTTACTAGCCTCAGAGGTGTGGGGTCTAGACTCTGCTGAATTTTGGTGTTGAACACTGCTGATTATTCTCTATGAATGACGAACGGCTGTACAGTGATTCTCGGCTTTTCAGCTCCAATTGGCTTCATTTACAGAGCGAAAAACCCGAAACGCCTGATTCTAGCAGCAACTCAAGATTTTAGATGGCTTGTCATATGTGATTGCACCTCGCGAACTGGTGACAGTTTCCACCTGGAAGTCACCAATGAAGAATGAGTTGGCTTACGCATGTTACTTCAGTGTGCATGTCACAAATCTCCAGAAGACCTCCAACGCGCGGCCTCCTGGTTGATACCTAAAGGCTACATCATTCGGGCACACGTGACTGATCAGCAGTGTGATTGGCTCGCACTCGGACATGACAGCATCACTCATTTTCCAGTCACACAATCCATATCGAGTGGTCACATGTTAGTTTGTGTGATGAAGGGTGCCGGGTGCAAAAGACATCTGCGCTCAGTTCGGTACGAACGAAGTAGGAAAACTTAGTTAGGTTGGATTACTGTGGAAATCACATCAAAGGACCGAGATTTGTTGCTCATCGTTGCGGCTACCGTGGATGTCCTCTTTCAGAACAGACAAGTAAGGAAGAAACCGAAATGACAGGCGCTTCTGCTGATTGGCCAGCAGCATGCGGCTTAACGTCAAAGTCAACATGTCACGCATTTGATTGGTCTGATTAGTAATTATCGATTGGTCCTGACTACACTGCTGATACACGCAGACTATGGTTTCAGCTGGCACACGAACGATGGACATGAAGCGTCGGAAAATTTGCACTCCATCCTATACACACAGTACGTGTTCCGTTCGATGTGTCAGAACTGACACTCTAACTGTCAAATGTCCCAGGCAAAGTTTTCCCCATCGTTCTATTCTCGAGGCAGCATGAGCTCCGAGGTTTTGCACTTTTCCCCAAGTTTTCAATACAAATATCTGCCTCAGCGGAGAGCCCATTGTGACTACGTTTGTTTTCTTGAATAAAATCCGTTTAGTTGCACACACCAAAAACTAGATCGCGGACGGAGCTCGACTTCCGACACTAGTTCAGTGGATGACAGGCTAGTACAAGCACCCTAAACGATTACATGTTAGGCGACTGTGTGTTAGACTGGTGATAAACAATGCTTTATGAAATCGTTATAGTCTTTTGCTTTTGAAGTTCGGAAAGAACCAGTTAGTTTACGCGTGCTTTTCTTTGATGTTTCTTGGTGTATCCTGGTAACAAGGCGACAATGGTTTTGTCGATTTTTGTGGACCCTTCTCATTTTAAGGACTCCAGCGTCTGATGTTCTGCAACCTAGAAATTTGACTGTCTTTGTCCTTTTCACTGTATAACGCTTGCAGTCCCGCACATAGCTCCATGTGGAACTTCAGTAAATAGTTTCCAAACACTCAGCTCGTTTTTTAGTATCATATCCGGTGCTCTTTGTAGAATACTAGGTTGAAAACACTTTTGGGATAATAGGACTTCATCTTCATCTGAGCTCTCTGATGCTTTTTGAGTGCTGGAGTGATAAGCTGCGGAATTTCTTCGCTATTTTAGGTGAGTCTAAAAAAACCTCTTGGTGTCTGCGCGAGGCACTTTCCCTCACAGAGTTCCTTTGGACTGACCCGTCCTAATTACTCCATTGTGAGATCCTGTTCTAAGGCCATGATATCAAAGCAAGGAATTGGTTAACTAGCCTAAACGCACGATCTACGTGTCCCATCAGATAGGTAGCGTGTAGTCCAATTCAACGATGGACGGTCAGTAATAATTGCGGTGAAACCGAATGCTGCGAACTTCACCTGCGTTTGTTCAGTAGTCGCAATTGGGCAGCAAAAATATATTGAATAAGACGTGGGCGGACAGTACAGACAGGTAGACCATGGTTCTATAAGAAACTAACAGTAAATCGTAAGCACAGAAAGAGCAGCGTGCTATCGAACACAAAAAGCGGGAAAAAGTTGTGCAGTTCAAAGTGGGGCAAAAGGTTGAACAACAAACCCAGAAATGAATGTGAATAAATCGAGTCATGAAAACAGTTAATATAGAATCGAAACACTCAATGTAGAATCGACTTCGTGTAAAATAGATTAGTACAGTCTTGAAACTTGAGCAGTCGCTGGAAGGGTAATGAATTAGTTTGAGGAATAGGGATGCCAGCAGCTAAACGACGCTGTGCGGAATTTCTAAGGCTATGAATTCAACACGCCTGCATCGACCGATGCAGTAATCACCTATATCAACTGTCTGGTTAGGACCAATCACCAATCAGACCAACCGGTGGCGTGACTCGTTGCATTCAGCCCCTTGACCAATCAAACAACGCCCTCGTAAAAATCGGTTTGCAGGTTAAGCTCTTCTGTACTCATCAGGTAAGTACAGTTCCCGGGTTCCCATCAACCCTATATTCTACTTAAAACCAGATTGCACGAAATTAGCGAAATACTCTCGGGGGCTGCGTCTATTAGATGAGCCCCAAGAAGGGCGAAACCGGTCGTGGGCTGTCGATGAATATTCAACAGCCTTATGAGTAGTATATTGCGTCCGCACAAGTATCGCGATATCTCGGATATCGTAACAACCGAAAAATGAGGCGGCCTGGTGCAGCACATTTAGCTGCCTGGAGACATGACGAATGAGAGATTGGGCTAAGTTCCAGATGAATCTCTCGAAAAACCAAATCAGTTTGCAAATGAGTGTATTTCTTTTGTACTTGTTATTTTTTCTATATAGGATTGCTCCCCTCTGAAAAAATCAGCCCGAATGACCCAGACTTTGAGCGTTGGTTCATCATATCCAAAGTGAACCTTGTTTTTCCACGAGTTATTTCACAACGCTTTCTATGAGTCACAACTACAGACACTAGAATAGTTCAGCGTATTGTTGATGTAGTTTCCGCAAACTTTTCCTTGATCAGTTCGAGTGAGATCCCCATCATCTACTGTCTGAAAGGTCATTTTCATTCTGATTTGTGAACACCACTCAACCTGGCCATGTCACTTTTCAACGTTTTACTTTCTTCCCAATTCTAGCGCCCCATCTCTGGCTTAGTCAGACGATATCGTTCGGGACTTACTTAACTTAAGGCTTCCAAGACGGATTCCTCCACCTTGGGCGTAATATGGACTGGGCAAACGAAACTGAGGAGCTCGCTGATGAGTTATGGAATTGCAGTTTCTCACCTGATTGTGACGAAATCGGGTGTCCGACTGTTCAAACTAGTGTCGATTGTTGTCCGCAACTTGGAAAGCAGGCGACATTACGATCGATTTTGCATCACTCGCTTCAAATGTTCTATACGACTGACGTTGGGATTATTTGTCCGGAACGTGTATATGATGGTTCGATTTTAGGAACTGCCGCTTTGGCAATGGAAATTTTGTCTCTGTTCACCCACCAGAACAACACAACCTGCCTACTGCTCTTACGCACGAACAGCGGCCACCATTGGTTTGGAATGCTTTTTGAAATGAGTGGCGACGGACAACTCACAGGTTACTACTATGTAGATGGGGTCTCAGGACGGCACAAGCTGCCAGTTCGATTGCTTGCTTTCCTCTCCGACTTAATCCAATTGGTATATCAGAACATTACGATTAATTTTGTGCCACACAATGACAACTATGCGCGACAAATTCTTCAGTGGAACCAGCATTCGCCAGGATGTAGTCTGGATGTGATTCTACACCTGGTATACATGCTTCTCTGTTGTCGTTTCCATGATGACATTGCGAGGAGTTCACTGTTAGACTTGTACGAAGACATTCCACGGATGTTGCTCAATACCACTGAAGAAGACCAACCGTCCATGGACTATGCTCAAACAGCTACTAGCGACATTGAATACAGCAGGCAGACAGAGGAAAACATCCTGTACACGACAAGTTTGAACAAGCGTGTCAGTAAGCTACTCAAAGACGTACAGAAAGCGTCAAAAAGAGTTGGTCCAAAGGACACTTCAGTCGCCGTTGCATATCTAGTCAGCGTTATGGAATTTGACGAATCTCTTCGTTTTCATGCATTCAGGCTACTTTCATATGTCCTACCTTTCGGCTACTCAGCGAACCGTTACTACGCTTTTGATCACAAAACCATACTCAACTATTTCTCCGGCAATCCACCAAGCACACGCGACTTGGCTCTTTTCATTGCAAAAGACAAAACGATCGATTTATCGGGCATAGTCGACCGGCTGTTGCGTAGCATTTCAACCTGTCCGTATGCAATCGAAGAAGCCGCAATTCTCGGAGAATTGGCGTCAATTCCAAGCGTCCAGACACACCTTACGAGCTCAGACTTTGAGTTGTTTTTGTTACACTTAGCCCATAGAACCGATGAACTCAGTGTACGGAAATGTTTGCTGGCCGCTTTCGAGGAGATAGTGCCTGCTAATCGGCGATCTCAGAGTGAACTTTATATGCTTCTGAAGCAGCTGGAACATGCATTTTCGGACATGGACAGCAAAAGTACACAGGAACTTGTAGCTCACCTTCACCATACTGCTGCCTCAGGATATAGACTGACAGAAGCCCAGGTGACTAGACTGGCGAAGAGATTGGCTACAGAAAAACCGTCAACACACCGGCGTGACTTGGCCGAGTTCCTGTTGCACACGGACGTTGAACTGAAGGTTGGTGAGGATATCACGACTCTGCTTGACACCGTCAAAGACTATCCTGACTTGCTCCTCTCAGGAAGAACAGTCGAGATTCTCCAGTGTGGAATAGCCGAGGGATTCGATATTTCCGTCATGGTCTCCGAATTAGCTCTAAAAAGCTTTGTTCAGCACTTATTCGACGTCTCCATCACACTAGACATCCCGATGGAATTGATAAACCTTCTGTCAAAACATCACAAGTGGGGTGAGCATGCCTTGGAAAGACTCGACGTCATTACCAAACAGCCGATTAACCACACCTGCCTGATACGTACGGTGCTTCACACACTCTCTAAACAAGACAAGGCCACACTGTTATCGATTGCTCAACTTGAGAACTACTACTTCGAACTTTGTAAGCAGCTTTGGGAAACAGGAACTTGTCCGTCCGAACTGACAAATTTCATCAAGCAAGGTGAAGATAAAGACTACGTTTTATCCCTTTTGACAGTACTATATGACATCAATTTCCTTGGTATACCAGTAAGCATGGAGATTTTTTCGAAACATCCCACGAATGAATGGCGATACATGCTTCTTGCCTATGGCCTACAGCAACTCGTGCAGTGCCCTACCGAAACCGATGATGACCTTGCAGTCTACACGCGCCATCTGAGTCGCTTAGCCGAGGTATTCGGTCCGGACGGACGGGATAAGATCTTATACGTCCTACTTAACGATACCGATATGGACACTTGCGATCTCAACGACGTTAACGAAATCCTACAAATGTGTTTTCAGTCCGGACCTTCTGTGCTTCCCATAATTGTCGACAGCTCATTTCAATTATCAACGCATTTGGAGTTGCTCCAAATCCATTGGCTGACTTTCTTTTTTCGAAATTTACCATAATTGTCGACAGCTCATTTCAATTATCAACGCATTTGGAGTTGCTCCAGATCCATTGGCTGACTAGCCTGTTGTCAAAAGTTGCGGTCGTATTTGAACATGACGATTTGGTCAGTTTAAACAACCATACAGCACACATCGATCGTCACTTATTGGACACAGTCATAGCAAAGATCATTCCCGGGACTGATATCAAGGAGCTGGTAGGGTTTTTCTCGAAGCTATACAAAGCCGATTTGTGTGAAGCTGACAAAGAAGAACTACTGAAAAACCTTCCTTGTGATACACAAATCGTTAATTGGTACACATTGATGTATGTCGACATAGTTGACGAGATAATGTCAGCGCATTTGCACAACTATGAAGCCCTCATTCATTCGGAAAGATCGATTCCGCAAGTGTTGTGTAAGAATGCTTACACTGAGAGTGAGGACCCAGACTACTGGTACACGGCAGACGATATTGTGACCATAGGTGAAGCATGGATGACGGCAGACTCCCACCACAGTTGTCACATCATCTGGGGTGTGGATTTGAATGAGCAAGCGGCAGAAGAGACCAGTCGACTTGCCGAAATCTTAGATTTGTACAACCGATCCAGACAACCGACCATAATCGTTCTAAATTTTGCGCAGCTGCACTGGGTTGTTGTCGCCTGTTACCCCGAAGGAGCGAAAACCGTTGTTCTCTACAAGGACTCTATGGGCGAACAGAACTGTGTGGCAGAACGCGAAAAAGTACAAAGTCTCTTCGAAACATGCATCGAGCAAACGGAATTCCACTATCATCCGGAAAAAGAGCAACAGGACAATTCAAGTTGTGGCATCTTTGTTTTGTCGAATATGAAGATTTTAGCCAGGCACATGGAGCAAAAGCAACCAGACAGAATGTTTGAAACGCTTTGTTTTACCAAACAGACCGATGTGAAGCAACTTCGAACAGTCGAATTCCCCAAATGGTATGCCTGGACAGTTGCGCGGAAATACTGGAAAGAGCATTTGCGTGAGATGCATCACTGCGAGCTGGATGCTGTTAGGCGAGAGTTGGCAGCGGTGTGGGGAGACGGTGTCACCATTGGTTTGGACGGAGATGTAAAAAATGAAGTCGAATCGGATATTGCTCTGTCAATACACTTTCCTGAACAGGAACTGTTTTTCAACGAGTCCTACAGATATTTCTATAAAGTCCGTATAAAGCGGCCACCCAGTGATGTACTGCAAAACAGCGTTTACGAAACAATGTTGATCATGTTTGGCGAGCCAAGTGTTGTTCCCGATCCCCCGGATGGTTTTCTAATCAACGCTCGTGAAGCCAATTTTCTGAATGGTCGCAGTTCAGTGACACAGCCCGCTAAGTCCCTTCACTTCCTCTCCGGATCGCAGCAAAGGGAAGTTCTACGGATTCTAGGTGTACCATACACCTACCTGGAAAGACAGAAGCTGCTGAGGACACTCGGTATTGCAGTCGCAGAGAGAAATTTCCCAAACGAAGGTCAGGATACTCTCATCACCGATGAATTGATGGTACGCGATCTTCGAGACAGGTTTATACAGCTCATGTTGTTGGGTTGGAGTCAAAACTCTATTGAACATTTGCTCAAATTGTTGCTACACCTATGTCCGCAAGACTTGCGAGCATTTATCAACACGCTGGATATCGTCTGTGAATACCGACTCCGGGAATATGACAGAAACCGAGCAGGGAGAAGCCTCATCTCATTCTTGAATCAACCGTCCAATGCCGTGCTGGAGAGCGAAGTTCACCAGCTGGCCATTGACTGTAGATTCCCAGGAACTGCAGACAAGACAGTAACTGAAATAGTCCACGAACTAGTTCAACAAAACAAAGGTTTTGAGACCGAGTGTTTGAGCGAACAACATCTGCTAGGCAACCACGAACGGATCTTGCGTGCGTACTGTGATAGTTCCCTATTGGTTCCAGAGTTGAATTCAATAAGACATTGGAAACGAGACAGCGTGCAAAACTGGGCTAGGAAATTCAAACAACAAGACAATGCACGTCATCCGGACTTTGTTTATGAAATGATTGCGGTGTTGAAGAGAGCAGTTGAGCTATCGAGTCAGTTTACACCTAGGGATGTGCAGCTAGTCGCTCTGTGGTGTTTGCTGAATCCACAACCTCACCAAGGCAGACTATTACAGGTGGACACAGGAGAAGGGAAAACCACGATCGTAGCCATGTTTGCGGCAGCCAAGGCATTACAAGGTCACAAGGTGGACATTGTTACCAGTTCTGCCGAACTGGCCGTACCACAATCGGAACAGCAAAAAGAATTCTATTCATTGTTTGGTCTTACAGTCGGTCATAATTCCCGGAAAAAGGTCAGGGACGAGTCAACGTTTTTCGAATGTTACAAAAATGACATAGTGTATGGTGCCGCAGAGGATTTTCAAGCCGATATACTTCGTCAAGAATTTAGTCGCATCACCACACGCGATACTCGTAGCTGTGATGTCGTGATTGTCGATGAGGTGGACAGTATGCTGATTGACGGGAGGAATAGTCTGGTACGTCTTAGCTCGACAATGCCTGCGATGAACTATTTGGAACCCATACTAGCGGTTATCTGGTTGCATATTGAACAGGTGGGCAATGGGATTGTGGTGCAAGATGGCGAAACGTTCTACAGACACATCAAGCAGGTTGCACCTGCGGACGAGAACATGGTTGGGAAAGCAGATCCACCGGAAATCGAATGGATCCCGATAACTGTATCAAAGTCGGAATTCCTCAAGCAAACCACAGTGGATCATGTCCGAAAACTGCTTCGTTTTGAGGTCGATGTGCCGGAAGACTACCCAGAACTGAAAGTCCCAAATCACCTGAGACTACTGGTTTCCGAGTATCAATTATCCAGGTGGGTGGATAGCGCTATCAGTGCCAAATACCGGTACGAAAACGGAAAACATTATATTCTTAGAGATGGAAAAATCGCAATTGTGGACGCTGCCAACACGGGTGTCGTACATTCCAGCATGCATTGGAGTGATGGCCTGCACCAATTCCTTCAAATGAAACATGGCGCTAAGCTAAGTCCGGAAACCTTGACATCCAATTATTTGTCTAATGTCACTTATTTTCAGCGGTACGGAGAGTCGATTTTCGGTCTGACTGGCACCTTGGGCAGCTGTGCAGCCCAAGAGATGTTGCAAACAACTTACAATGTGGACTGTGTAAACATACCGCCGTTCAGAGAGAAACAACACTACGGGCTAGTTCCGCGAGTCGTCGACAACGAAGACGAGTGGTACGCAAGTATAAGCGCTAGCTGTTTGAACAAATTGCGGAACAATCGAGGAGTTCTGATCATCACTCAGTACATCGAAACATGTCGTAAGCTAGGGCGGCTTTTTCAGCAGCTTGGAGTAATCCGCAGCNAACAATCGAGGAGTTCTGATCATCACTCAGTACATCGAAACATGTCGTAAGCTAGAGCAGCACTTTCAGCAGCTTGGAGTAAATCCGAAGAAGATCAAAGTCTACGCGTCCGGAGATGATTCATACGTCATTGATGATGAGTTAGACTGTGGTGAGGTGATCATCGCGACCAACATCGCTGGGCGGGGCGCAGATATCAAGCCAACGAAAGAAGTTGAGAGAAATGGGGGTATGCATGTATGTATAACATTTCTACCGCAAAATGAACGCGTCGAGCGGCAGAATATCGGCCGAACATCGAGGACCGGTAACAAGGGTACCAGTCAGTTCATTATCCAACATTCTGATTCGGCTAGCATTGAGTGGCTCCGGACTCACCGAGATCGATTGCAAATGGCAGTGCTCGTCAGTGCCGTTTCCGAAATCCGTTCCATTGTTATGCGAGACAAGCTGTTCAGAGAATTTTGTCTTTTACTACACGAATTCGAGGATAAGTTTGAAGCGAAAGCCACTGAAGAACGGTTTGCTATCTGGCTGAAGATGCAACAAGATTTAATTGAAAACAATGACACGAAAAACGTAGCCTCCAGATTTAGGGCGTTTGTAGAGCAAATCCGCGATGACCAGAGAATGAACTGCCTGATCAGAAATCCGTATTTCTACACACTTCGAGGAAACCAACTCTTACAAAGTGGCGACTACGTGAAAGCTCATCTTGAGTATGACAAAGCCGTAGAACTTGACCGGGAATATTCGGAAACCGCCCATTACAACCGGGCCTATGTGAGACTGTATCGCTGTGGTGGTGTCATAATCCACAATGAAGACAAAATCCAAGACGCGATAGAGGACCTGAAGCAGGCCAGAAACCTGATCAACAGGCGTTTAGATGATTTGAATCTTGTTGGTTTCATCTCGCATTCCAAAGTTTTAGCCCAACAAATAGTCCACAAACGCAACATCTTTGGTGTAATGCTGAACGCTATCGAAGCCGCCATTGGACCAAAGGACGACCTCATTGAAGGGTCAATCGGCCATGCCTTAAAAAATAAGGATAACGAATTGAAAACAGAATTAGTACCCCTTCTGGATGCTCTGAGTGAGAACAATGACATTCATCTTTTGAATGAAGAGCTCCAGGAGTTTACTGAGACCGGTTACTTTGGCGTATTCCATGTTTCTGTACTGCCTCCCATTCCTTGGGGGTCCGTGATCGGCATGTCAGTTATTGGATTGACTCAAATCCTGATTGGAGCTTCCCTAGCTGTTTTCTCTCTTGGCCTAGGGTCAAGTATCGGTCTGGGCCTCATCGCCGAGGGAGTGGGCGATCTTATCACAGCCGTAAAATCTGGCATCATCGGTCGAAATATCGATTGGAAAGCGTGGGGAGTACAGAAAACAGTCTCCCTAGTTGTAACGGTTGTTTGTGCTGGAGTTGGTGCGGCTCTCGATGCCGCCATGACACTTGGAGCTGCAGGAACACAGGTGCTGCGTGCGGCAGCACAAGGAGTCAAAATCACAAAGTGCACTGCGTCTTGTTTTGGCACAGCCTTAAAAGCTGTCGGTGCTGGTTTGGCCAAAGGAGTGGTGAGGGAACTCGTCGCCAACATAGCTAATTACGGTCTCACCAAGATGATTGTGCCAGAGATCCGCAAGATGCTGGATTCTCACATCAAACCATGGGTAGAAAAAAACATCTTGAAAAATTCCATGGTTGCGTATCTTTTGGAGTTGGATTTCAAAAACGGCACCAATGAATTTTGCACGAAAATCAAACAAACCATTTTGGAATTGCTCACACCCGAACAAGGTACCGCGAGTGTTTTTTATGAAATAGGTCAAGGTATTGTCAAAGGAATTTTAGAGACAAAAGTTCCGTACGTTACAGAGGCCCTCTTGATGAAGAATATACTTGTAGCGGCTCAGGAATTGTGGCGATTTCTCGAATCAGTCACGACAAGACTTGGAGACAAACTTGAGAAATTATATGAGAAAGCAAAGTCGGACGTCAGCCAACCGGAACAAGAAGAGGAAGAGAGGATTTCGACAGAAGAAAGACCCACTGCTCAAACTTGCATTGAATATACCGGCGTTGATTTTCCCGCGGACGACATTGATTTAAACAAAGGTCGAGTGCCTCAGGAACAAGTAAATTTGGAACAGAAATCTGGAAAACCACGCTTGTCAGAGTTACAACAATCTTTGTCAGACATCATCACCGATAGTATGTCCACTGTCATTTCGGACAAAGTTCTGTCACCTCTAGTTGACTACGGTTTGATGAAAGGTGTTAACAAGGGCTTCTCAAAGTGGGATAAAAGTATACAAGCTGAAATCGAGCATCACAAACAACGGAGGCGGATTGTCCTCGGAAAAGACCCTCGTTTTGCCAAACGGATCCAAAAGATTTATGCAGACCACGAACTTTGCCTAGCTGATATGCAGCAAGCTGCGGAATTTATCGGTCAACAGGGAGCAGGCGGCGAGGCAAATTTGGTCGCACTGTGTTACGCGGCCGATCTACTCGGTAGACCCATCAAACTGATCGACAAAAATGGAAATACCATTCACAATATTCGGAGTGGAGCCACGGGAGAACCAATGGTTATACAGTACAACAAAGAGGAAAAGCATTTTTGCCTGCCAGGAAACAAAGACCCCATTTTGACGAGTAAGTCGGGACGGGACGGAGATAACAATTGCCTGTACAACGTGCTCGCAGACCACACTGGTCTTGAGGCGAATGAGATTCGTATGAAAGTCGCGCAGGCCATGTCCCAGAACTGGGGTACGCTGGTGCATCAAGTTAGGGACTATCATGCACTGGCCAGCTACAACAAAAGTGCTCAACTTAGTGGAGGTCGACGGCCTCACAAGAGGCGACCACCTAAACCACTGGAGCAGGACAGTTATGGATTTTACGACGACCAGGTTGTCAAATGTGAAAGTTTGCTTCCAATGTTGAATAAGATGGCCATCGAAATGGACGGTTCACTACGTGACTACTTGGAGTTTGAAAAAAAGAGCTCACGCGCCAAGAACAAATTCACCGATCATGCTGGTTTCTCCCCTCAGTTTACCAGAGGCCAAAAACCTGAAACGAACGGTATTATGCTAGGAGCCATTGAGGTAAAGTTCACCAATGGAGAGACACTAAAGCTGCTCACTCTTGCTGGCCAAAATCCACTCATCGTTGCTCAGCTAAAAGACGGGACAACAAAAGAGTTTTCCTTCTCACACAATGGCTTCAAATTGGCTCATCCAAAGGGTGATATCGTGGGATCTAATGCATTCCAACCATTCGACCGAAAAACACTAGGTTGCGCGAAATTTAACACACGCTGTGCCGCTCAGAAATTGATATTCATGTTGGGTGAGCACATGAAAGCGAATCCACACTTGAAGATTGAGGGAAAAATTCAAATGGCAGAAGGCTGGTACAGTTTCCACCCGAAGGATAGAGAAAGGCTGTACAAGATGAGCAATCCGAAACAGTACAAAAGACAGTATAAAAATTTAGACAAGAAAAAGGGCCAGAGATCCAAAAGGCCACTTTTGATCACGTCGCATGCTGAAAAACCATGCACAGAGTGTGACAGTTTGGGCAGACAAACGTCAAAAAACAAGAAGTGATCGATAGTTGTGGACATATATGGCCACGTGACTTTCATCACACCGACATTTTCGCTTCGACCGTATAGATTTAGATATATCAAGACGCGTGAATCTATATTACACATTCATGGTTTATTTTTCAGTTCTTTCTTAAACACTTGAAAAAATATTGCTCACGAGAGTTCATCTTCCTTGTATGGCTGACATTTTTCACTTTGAAATTCAGTCACTCAGATAGCTCACCTTCGTTATGACATGTGACCCTCCCCATTTCAGGGAACAAGAGGGAGAGTTCTCATCAGGATTGGAGAATTCACATCTTACTCAGGTTTCTTTTTTGGAATGACTTTCCGCCAGTCTGACAAGTTGGACTTTAAAAAATCTTCTAATGCATTTGTCCCGTCATCCTTAATATCAGATTACACATGCAATCTACTGTCTTGGCAACGTCGAACTACTGGTGTAACGCTATACACTACTGACGAAGCATGGAAGTAGTCTATTGGTGACGAAACGGCGACGAACAGACCAACACCCACCTGACTGACAGCCATATCGGGTGCTGCTTGCAAAGGAGACTACTCAAAAATCGATCCAGTAGAAGCCCGAGATAGCTTTCTTACTGCATAGGTGTTTGGAGTAGATCACAACCTCCTTCGAATGGAGTCCCCGCGAAGGCGGGAACCCATGCTAACTTTAAAATTGGGTACTAGCAAGTAAGGGTCTGCTAATGAAGCATGTCTAGTAGTTTTCAGTAGCAGGCGTAAGTAGAATATTTCGGTGGGAAATTCTTACATGGAGATGAACCGCGGTTAGATTTCCCCTATTTCGTAGAACCCTTTTGATGCCTAGTGTCAAGCCAACGGAAGAGGGGATGGTAGCTTGGTTGTTGCCAGGTCGCTCAAGCTTAGACAGCAGCAGTCGAGATGCTGCGGCTGGACTCAAACCATGGACGTGTCTGTCCTTAAACTGGCGTCTTAACTGCTGAGCTGCCTCTAGCCTGCACGGCGTGTGCTGCGGCTGGACTCAAACCATGGACGTGCCTGTCCTCAAGCTGGCGTCTTAACTGCTGAGCTGCCTCGAGCCTGCATGGCGTACTGAATCGCGCGCTGACAGTGGGTATACTTTTCAGAGCGCAGAGACAGGTATCCTTTGCACTCATGAGCTGTCGAAGAATTTTCAGCAACCTCATGAGTAATGCATTACGAATATACATGTATCGAGATATCTCGTATATCGTAGTGACTGAAAACATGAGGCGTCCTGGTGCAGCACATTCAGTTGCCCGGACATATGACGAACGAGAGATTCAGCTAGGTTCCATGTGAGTCTCTCGCAAAAACCAAATTAATTTGCAAATGAGGGTAGTTCGCTAATCTATTGCACTTAGTTAACAAAAATCTGAGTGTGTGATTCAAAACACAGCAACAAGGTCTGTGATTAAGCCAGGTCACTCGAACCGCAGTTTATGCTCCAGGAATTCAGTAATGTTGATTAAGAAGGAATGCATACATCAACAAGGTGTGAGCTTGTGCACCGTCGTTAGTATCTTTAGAGTGCCCGCCCGAAACAGAAAAATGTAAGGCCTTGATAAGCAGGTGGGTTGAAAACAGACTGATCCCCAGCTTCAAAGGAAGCAAGTTGGTGGCGACTTTCGACTACGAGGATTATATTCTTAGAGATGGAAAAATCGCAATTGTGGACGCTGCCAACACGGGTGTCGTACATTCCAGCATGCATTGGAGTGATGGCCTGCACCAATTCCTTCAAATGAAACATGGCGCTAAGCTAAGTCCGGAAACCTTGACATCCAATTATTTGTCTAATGTCACTTATTTTCAGCGGTACGGAGAGTCGATTTTCGGTCTGACTGGCACCTTGGGCAGCTGTGCAGCCCAAGAGATGTTGCAAACAACTTACAATGTGGACTGTGTAAACATACCGCCGTTCAGAGAGAAACAACACTACGGGCTAGTTCCGCGAGTCGTCGACAACGAAGACGAGTGGTACGCAAGTATAAGCGCTAGCTGTTTGAACAAATTGCGGAACAATCGAGGAGTTCTGATCATCACTCAGTACATCGAAACATGTCGTAAGCTAGAGCAGCATTTTCAGCAGCTCGGAGTAAATCCGAAGAAGATCAAAGTCTACGCGTCCGGAGATGATTCATACGTCATTGATGATGAGTTAGACTGTGGTGAGGTGATCATCGCGACCAACATCGCTGGGCGGGGCGCAGATATCAAGCCAACGAAAGAAGTTGAGAGAAATGGGGGTATGCATGTATGTATAACATTTCTACCGCAAAATGAACGCGTCGAGCGGCAGAATATCGGCCGAACATCGAGGACCGGTAACAAGGGTACCAGTCAGTTCATTATCCAACATTCTGATTCGGCTAGCATTGAGTGGCTCCGGACTCACCGAGATCGATTGCAAATGGCAGTGCTCGTCAGTGCCGTTTCCGAAATCCGTTCCATTGTTATGCGAGACAAGCTGTTCAGAGAATTTTGTCTTTTACTACACGAATTCGAGGATAAGTTTGAAGCGAAAGCCACTGAAGAACGGTTTGCTATCTGGCTGAAGATGCAACAAGACTTAATTGAAAACAATGACACGAAAAACGTAGCCTCCAGATTTAGGGCGTTTGTAGAGCAAATCCGCGATGACCAGAGAATGAACTGCCTGATCAGAAATCCGTATTTCTACACACTTCGAGGAAACCAACTCTTACAAAGTGGCGACTACGTGAAAGCTCATCTTGAGTATGACAAAGCCGTAGAACTTGACCGGGAATATTCGGAAACCGCCCATTACAACCGGGCCTATGTGAGACTGTATCGCTGTGGTGGTGTCATAATCCACAATGAAGACAAAATCCAAGACGCGATAGAGGACCTGAAGCAGGCCAGAAACCTGATCAACAGGCGTTTAGATGATTTGAATCTTGTTGGTTTCATCTCGCATTCCAAAGTTTTAGCCCAACAAATAGTCCACAAACGCAACATCTTTGGTGTAATGTTGAACGCTATCGAAGCCGCCATTGGACCAAAGGACGACCTCATTGAAGGGTCAATCGGCCATGCCTTAAAAAATAAGGATAACGAATTGAAAACAGAATTAGTACCCCTTCTGGATGCTCTGAGTGAGAACAATGACATTCATCTTTTGAACGAAGAGCTCCAGGAGTTTACTGAGACCGGTTACTTTGGCGTATTCCATGTTTCTGTACTGCCTCCCATTCCTTGGGGGTCCGTGATCGGCATGTCAGTTATTGGATTGACTCAAATCCTGATTGGAGCTTCCCTAGCTGTTTTCTCTCTTGGCCTAGGGTCAAGTATCGGTCTGGGCCTCATCGCCGAGGGAGTGGGCGATCTTATCACAGCCGTAAAATCTGGCATCATCGGTCGAAATATCGATTGGAAAGCGTGGGGAGTACAGAAAACAGTCTCCCTAGTTGTAACGGTTGTTTGTGCTGGAGTTGGTGCGGCTCTCGATGCCGCCATGACACTTGGAGCTGCAGGAACACAGGTGCTGCGTGCGGCAGCACAAGGAGTCAAAATCACAAAGTGCACTGCGTCTTGTTTTGGCACAGCCTTAAAAGCTGTCGGTGCTGGTTTGGCCAAAGGAGTGGTGAGGGAACTCGTCGCCAACATAGCTAATTACGGTCTCACCAAGATGATTGTGCCAGAGATCCGCAAGATGCTGGATTCTCACATCAAACCATGGGTAGAAAAAAACATCTTGAAAAATTCCATGGTTGCGTATCTTTTGGAGTTGGATTTCAAAAACGGCACCAATGAATTTTGCACGAAAATCAAACAAACCATTTTGGAATTGCTCACACCCGAACAAGGTACCGCGAGTGTTTTTTATGAAATAGGTCAAGGTATTGTCAAAGGAATTTTAGAGACAAAAGTTCCGTACGTTACAGAGGCCCTCTTGATGAAGAATATACTTGTAGCGGCTCAGGAATTGTGGCGATTTCTCGAATCAGTCACGACAAGACTTGGAGACAAACTTGAGAAATTATATGAGAAAGCAAAGTCGGACGTCAGCCAACCGGAACAAGAAGAGGAAGAGAGGATTTCGACAGAAGAAAGACCCACTGCTCAAACTTGCATTGAATATACCGGCGTTGATTTTCCCGCGGACGACATTGATTTAAACAAAGGTCGAGTGCCTCAGGAACAAGTAAATTTGGAACAGAAATCTGGAAAACCACGCTTGTCAGAGTTACAACAATCTTTGTCAGACATCATCACCGATAGTATGTCCACTGTCATTTCGGACAAAGTTCTGTCACCTCTAGTTGACTACGGTTTGATGAAAGGTGTTAACAAGGGCTTCTCAAAGTGGGATAAAAGTATACAAGCTGAAATCGAGCATCACAAACAACGGAGGCGGATTGTCCTCGGAAAAGACCCTCGTTTTGCCAAACGGATCCAAAAGATTTATGCAGACCACGAACTTTGCCTAGCTGATATGCAGCAAGCTGCGGAATTTATCGGTCAACAGGGAGCAGGCGGCGAGGCAAATTTGGTCGCACTGTGTTACGCGGCCGATCTACTCGGTAGACCCATCAAACTGATCGACAAAAATGGAAATACCATTCACAATATTCGGAGTGGAGCCACGGGAGAACCAATGGTTATACAGTACAACAAAGAGGAAAAGCATTTTTGCCTGCCAGGAAACAAAGACCCCATTTTGACGAGTAAGTCGGGACGGGACGGAGATAACAATTGCCTGTACAACGTGCTCGCAGACCACACTGGTCTTGAGGCGAATGAGATTCGTATGAAAGTCGCGCAGGCCATGTCCCAGAACTGGGGTACGCTGGTGCATCAAGTTAGGGACTATCATGCACTGGCCAGCTACAACAAAAGTGCTCAACTTAGTGGAGGTCGACGGCCTCACAAGAGGCGACCACCTAAACCACTGGAGCAGGACAGTTATGGATTTTACGACGACCAGGTTGTCAAATGTGAAAGTTTGCTTCCAATGTTGAATAAGATGGCCATCGAAATGGACGGTTCACTACGTGACTACTTGGAGTTTGAAAAAAAGAGCTCACGCGCCAAGAACAAATTCACCGATCATGCTGGTTTCTCCCCTCAGTTTACCAGAGGCCAAAAACCTGAAACGAACGGTATTATGCTAGGAGCCATTGAGGTAAAGTTCACCAATGGAGAGACACTAAAGCTGCTCACTCTTGCTGGCCAAAATCCACTCATCGTTGCTCAGCTAAAAGACGGGACAACAAAAGAGTTTTCCTTCTCACACAATGGCTTCAAATTGGCTCATCCAAAGGGTGATATCGTGGGATCTAATGCATTCCAACCATTCGACCGAAAAACACTAGGTTGCGCGAAATTTAACACACGCTGTGCCGCTCAGAAATTGATATTCATGTTGGGTGAGCACATGAAAGCGAATCCACACTTGAAGATTGAGGGAAAAATTCAAATGGCAGAAGGCTGGTACAGTTTCCACCCGAAGGATAGAGAAAGGCTGTACAAGATGAGCAATCCGAAACAGTACAAAAGACAGTATAAAAATTTAGACAAGAAAAAGGGCCAGAGATCCAAAAGGCCACTTTTGATCACGTCGCATGCTGAAAAACCATGCACAGAGTGTGACAGTTTGGGCAGACAAACGTCAAAAAACAAGAAGTGATCGATAGTTGTGGACATATATGGCCACGTGACTTTCATCACACCGACATTTTCGCTTCGACCGTATAGATTTAGATATATCAAGACGCGTGAATCTATATTACACATTCATGGTTTATTTTTCAGGTCTCTCTTAAACACTTGAAAAAATATTGCTCACGAGAGTTCATCTTCCTTGTATGGCTGACATTTTTCACTTTGAAATTCAGTCACTCAGATAGCTCACCTTCGTTATGACATGTGACCCTCCCCATTTCAGGGAACAAGAGGGAGAGTTCTCATCAGGATTGGAGAATTCACATCTTACTCAGGTTTCTTTTTTGGAATGACTTTCCGCCAGTCTGACAAGTTGGACTTTAAAAAATCTTCTAATGCATTTGTCCCGTCATCCTTAATATCAGATTACACATGCAATCTACTGTCATGGCAACGTCGAACTACTGGTGTAACGCTATACACTACTGACGAAGCATGGAAGTAGTCTATTGGTGACGAAACGGCGACGAACAGACCAACACCCACCTGACTGACAGCCATATCGGGTGCTGCTTGCAAAGGAGGCTACTCAAAAATCGATCCAGTAGAAGCCTGAGATAGCTTTCTTATTGCATAGGTGTTTGGAGTAGATCACAACCTCCTTCGAATGGAGTCCCCGCGAAGGCGGGAACCCATGCTAACTTTAAAATTGGGTACTAGCAAGTAAGGGTCTGCTAATGAAGCATGTCTAGTAGTTTTCAGTAGCAGGCGTAAGTAGAATATTTCGGTGGGAAATTCTTACATGGAGATGAACCGCGGTTAGATTTCCCCTATTTCGTAGAACCCTTTTGATGCCTAGTGTCAACGGAACGGAAGAGGGGATGGTAGCTTGGTTGTTGCCAGGTCGCTCAAGCTTAGACAGCAGCAGTCGAGATGCTGCGGCTGGGCTCATGGGCGCGCCGTGCCTGTCCTCAAGCTGGCGTCTTAACTGCTGAGCTGCCTCGAGCCTGCATGGCGTACTGAATCGCGCGCTGACAGTAGGTATACTTTTCAGAGCGCAGAGACAGGTATCCTTTGCACTCATGAGCTGTCGAAGAATTTTCAGCAACCTCATGAGTAATGCATTACGAATATACATGTATCGAGATATCTCGTATATCGTAGTGACTGAAAACATGAGGCGTCCTGGTGCAGCACATTCAGTTGCCCGGACATATGACGAACGAGAGATTCAGCTAGGTTCCATGTGAGTCTCTCGCAAAAACCAAATTAATTTGCAAATGAGGGTAGTTCGCTAATCTATTGCACTTAGTTAACAAAAATCTGAGTGTGTGATTCAAAACACAGCAACAAGGTCTGTGATTAAGCCAGGTCACTCGAACCGCAGTTTATGCTCCAGGAATTCAGTAATGTTGATTAAGAAGGAATGCATACATCAACAAGGTGTGAGCTTGTGCACCGTCGTTAGTATCTTTAGGGTGCCCACCCGAAACAGAAAAATGTAAGGCCTTGGTAAGCAGTTGGGTCGAAAACAGACTGATCCCCAGCTTCACAAGAGGCAAGTTGGTGGCGACTTTCGACTACGAAACGTCACAAACTCTTGTAGTCATGCCACAGATGAGGTGGCAGACATCGTACTTCTTCATTTACCGAGTGATAAAAATTTGAGTATCACTCACTCACTCACTCACTCACTCACACACTCACTCACTCACTCACTCACTCACTCACTCACTCACTCACTCACTCACTCA